AAAATGCTGCAAAGAAAATTGAGGCGTTGAAGAAGAAACGCCCTTAAGAGAAAAATCCAAAGTTGGTGTTAGACCATGAGAAGGGGTCATACAACGTCCAAGTGCCTCAAGGAAAACCTAGGTTTCTGTATCAAAGGACCTTTGTGCCACCAACTGATGTTCCTAGTAATAACTGGGTTCGTCCTTTCTATCCAAGGGGGGGAAACCAAAATTGGAAGGTAGTGAAGAAAGTTTTAGGCTCGAGTCATTAGTGAGAAATGATGGAGAAGGGTTCAAGTTCTTCCCAATTTGCTGAAGCTGGGATCACCTTAAATAATTATCATGTTCATCCCACATACAAAGGGAAAAATCCTATGACGAAGACTCAATGGGAGAGGTTTCTAAGAAACAAAAAAGCTGCAAGAGAAGCAGCATCGAAAGTAGCTCCATCAAAGGGTGAGAGTGTTTAGAAATAAATGCACTGTCGACCAACAAAAGAGAGTTTATTGATGCCGGTTATGAATACGCCGCCAGTAAAATTTAGAGATCCTGATGACAACATGGACTATGAACTTTATGACAACTTTGCAGATAGCTCAGAAGATGGCTTAATTATTCACTGTAATATTGTGCCGGTCCTTCATAATGAGTATGGTTTCGCTTAAGAAGCATCTGGGGATAAAAAGAAGCCACGTGCGAAGAATCAACGGGCCAGAAACCTCTATGCTACTATGTCATGAATAATTGGGTGATGGAAGAACAACAAGCAATGTCTGAGAAGCCTATATCTAATAGGATGTATCATCTCAAGCCTTTGTTTATAAGGGATAAAGTTGATTATTTCCTTGTGAACAAAGTGTTCGTTGATGGTGGTGCTATTGTAAACTTGATGCCACAATCATTGCTAAAAAGGATTGGCAAGTTCGACACTGACCTCAAACCACATAATATGGTTGTGTCAAACTATGAAGGAAAAACAAGTCACATACTAGGTGTGATTTAAGTGAATTTGTTAGTTGGCTCGACTTCAAGACCAACATTATTTATGGCGATTGCATCCAAAGAGAACTATAATTTGTTGCTAGGACGTGAGTGGATACATGACATTGGGGCAGTACCATCAACTCTGCATCAACGCTTATCCATATGGCATCAAGATGGAATTGTGGAGAACATTGAAGCATACCACACTTATTTTACTGCTAATGTGAATGTGGCCAATAGGAAGAATGCTCTGGCAAGGATTTTGGCTTATATGGCCAAAAACAGGATAAATTCGGCCTTAGAGGTTGGAAATTAAATGTTTCAAATAGGGCGCCTGAAAGCCATTATGGTGGAAAAGCTTGGAGAACCAATTTAAACAACCGCTTCTGAAAGCCAGAGGCTTGTCTGCATATATGAAGAAGAGCCTTCGGGGTTTGAAAAAGACCCAAGAGATAATATTTTGAAGATGCAAGCACAAGATCTATTGGAGGAAGTAGACCTAGGTGATGGCACGTTTAGGCGAATTACATACATCAGCACCAAGTTTGACAACAAAATGAGAGATCAAGTAATCGAACTGCTTAAAGAATTTAAAGATTGCTTTGCATGGGATTACAACGAGATGCCTGGTTTGTGAAGGGAGATTGTAGAAATTAGACTACCCATAAATCCAGGCAAGTGACCAGTCAAACAAATGCCAAGGAGGTTCGCACCAAAAGTGTTGTTCAAAATTAAAATAGAGATTGAATGATTGTTGAAGAGTAGATTCATCAGGACATCCAGGAGATTTTCTAGGTATTGTAGTACACAAGAAGGGTATAGAGATTAATCATAACAAAATCAAGGCGATTTTAAGTACAAAAGCGCCAACAACGAAGAAAGAGCTCTAATCTTGGTTGGGAAAGATAAATTTCTTGAGACGATTCGTGTCAAACATGAGCGGAAAAACACTGGCATTTTCTCCTTTGTTAAAACTAGGCAAAGAATCTGAGTTCGAATGGGAAAAATATGGCTACACGACCAGCACATATCAGGAAGATGGCGATTGATTGAAGAAGATGGTGAGTTAGGGGTCACGTGTATCCTAGGAAGTTGAATCCAGAAAGTAGGGAAGTGGTTGTGTGATCGCAGATGTAACATTTGAGGGAAAAGGTCATGATTATGATGATGTCACTTTGCACTAAGAGAAAAGGATTAAAATGTCTGTTTCTGCTCTTTTAGTCAAAAAGGACTTTTTGGGGGGCAATTTGTTAGCTAGGATTTTTCATAAAGATTAAAATCCATCCAAAAGCGAAAAAGGTTATTTGGCTACTTTGAATTATGAGAAGTCGACTACAGAAGTAGTCAACCGGGAGAGATTTCATAAGTGGTCAATTGGGGTTGTGGACACAGTCGACCAGAAAGAGGTCTCATGAAGAATGGATTGGGCCCAGGAACGTTAAAAGCCCAAAACACACATAACTAGCAAAGCAAGGTGTTATGGATGGAGAATGTGGGTTCGACGACATGAATGGAGAACGTCGATTCATGGAGGGAAGTTACAAGACACATGTGGCATACAAGGTAGTGAAACCCGCTAGAAAGTAGTTATTTTTGTGTATTATAAATAAATCACTTAATGTATAGTGTTAAAGATTCAAACTTTCACATTCCTATGTGCTAGTCACTCAGAGTACCCAAGCGAACGAGCGAAATGAGTCAAGCTAGGGAAATGTACATTTGAATCAACCTATTTTCAACTATTTTTGGTGTTATGTCATTTATATTTACAGTTTAAAACATCTTTTGTTTAATTTTACAAGTCATGCTTTATTGCTTATAAACTCGTTTGACATTAGTCGAACGAATCCTTCTGAACACACTTTATGAAAACACTCGAAAATTGAAGCACTATACTGAGATTCCCTAGTCTATCTTGCCAGTAAACTTTTTATTAAGAGACCAATGTTATTTACCAAAACCAAAGGTAAACACTAACCACCTATATGCATAAAACTTAAACCAGATGCATCAAAACTCTTATATACATAGTTCAAAACAATGTGATTAGTGATTACACATAGCAATAATAGAAATTGTCATATAAACAAATGATGTAATAGAATTATTGCAAATATAAATACTATTAAGTGATCACTATGACTGAACTATTTGTACTCGTAACAATAACGACCAACTAAACCGTCTGAATATATATCCATTATTATAAGATATACATTATAAACAATGATATTAAGGTTAATATAACTATAGTTACTAATGAATGGAAAAACAATGCCTTAATCATCATAACATATTGTTTCTACAACCCAGATTCTTCCATCGGTAGTAGCATTTTCTGCATAATACAAATGCTTCAAACAAAGACTACCAAACTTAACAATAAAACATGGGGAAAAGAGAGATATAGTGTGCAATGCACCAATTAAAACTATTGTTATTCTTGCAAGCCCTTGGTACCAGTAGAAACGACAATATTTTATTAGCATTCTAACGAGAACGCTCTTATAGGAAATACAAATTGTAAATCAAAATTAGGTTAGATCTAAAGAGATATTTAAATAAATATCCTTTTTATGACTACATGTTATCGTCTCAACTTTGAAATTGATTTTGTACCACAAGAGACTACAATCATAAATATCCTTTTTTGTAGTGCCTCTTTGTTATGATATAAGATGTTTAGGTGGGTGGGTATGCCTACACCTCATATGTGCTTGGTGGTAGAGGTGTTTGTGATTTTTTAGGGTTTTGGCCGGAAAAAGAAATCTCTTCTAAGTTTGATTTCGATCTAGCATTTAATAGTCTGGATCATTTGGGAGTTATATGATAAAATTATCTTTCTTGCAAAAAGGACAGCAAATCCCTTAATATCTTTGTTTATAAGTATTGTTTGGAAGTGAATTTATGCTCATTTTCTAAAATCTAACTTTTTTTGGTTTGACATCAATAAATACTCACTTTTTAATGTCTTTGCTCTTAGGAGTGTAATGTGTGATCAAATATTCTCTTTTGTCTTTTTAAATAATATTATCGTTGATCTAAGAATTTTTTATTTGATTTGTGTAACATATGATATTTTTTAATTATAAATATAATATTAAAAAATATCATTAAAAAATATCATGTGTTATACAAAGCATATAAGAAACCCCAAGACCAAGTGTAATATTAGACCTTGATTAACGAAAAGGTTTGTCTAAAATGTTTTGTCTAAAAGGTTTTTGAACTTCGTGCCTGTCGGAATGACATCGAAACAGACGGACTTCCTTTCTTTCCATGAGTTTTTGACTTTTAGAAAAAGAAACCTCTTTGATCTTGGAGTTATACTGGTCCTCATTTCTACAATGTTTGGTTCTCTTTTTGAGGTTGGCCCCTGGTTTTGAAATTGCCTTGCCTTTGAGGATACTATTCATATACAAGTGGCTAGTTAAAGGGAAGGACATGCCAAGAGTTTGCTTAATGCTTTAACATGCAGTTATGCTTAAATACTTTTTTTTTAACACCGATTCAAATTTTAGTTTGGCAGCTTGTGGGAGTATCTTTTTCTAGGGTTTTTAAATTATAACGATAATAATGCTTAATGGCATCATAGTAGTATTAGTCACGGGACTCATTGCAGCGTTTACATGTCTGTTTGCTTTAATATTATCATCATAACATATTTTTCTAGATTATCTCATGTGGAGGCACTAAATATATACTACTATAATAATAATAATAATAATAATAATAATAATAATAATAATAATAATAATAATAATAAAAAAAAAATATTTCTCAACGGAAAAAAATAACATTATTAATAATCATCTTAAATATTTCCCTAGCAAATTGCATCGGGAATAATACATTTTATCATTACAATGTGGACAAATATTAAAAACAAACAGTGAATCCAATGAATAATATAACGAGAGGTTAATCGTCCATGCAACGAAGAAGTCTCTCAAACTGGATAATTTAGAATAAGCAAATAAGAAGCAAATAAAGTAGATACTTTTGATATGATCTTGATAATGATGATGATGAATTAATTAGTTGCATTGGAAATCACGTGGTGCTTGTTTTGAACAAACATTGAGAAGCAAGGTAAGTGAGATAGGAAGGTTGAGATTTATCCCCAAAATGCTAGCTCTAAGGGCTGTGCAAAGACACACTGCAGCTTCAAGATCAACAAGGCCATTAAGAAGGGAGCAACAAGGAGTCACTGGTGGCTGACCCAAAGTTGCATTCAACAATCCATTTAGGACATTGGCACATACGCCGAGTTTGAGTGCATCACGTGGGCACAAGCCGGTGCTACTCCCGCCTGAAGGGCCGGAAGGACCTGAGGGGTTCGAGCCTCCTGAAGGGCTCGAGCCTCCAGGACTCGAGCCACCTGAATTTTTTGAGTTAGGAGTATGCTTTGGCTTAGGGTTAGGGTTTGGGTTTGGGTACGAGCCGGAGCCACAAGTTCCACAAGATGAAACAAGGGTAAAGAAGAGAATGTTGATTGTGAGGAAAACTGCAAGAGAGGAACAAGTTTTGGAAGCCATTTTAGTAAAACTCTTGTAGTAATATAGCTAGTATTATGTTGCAAATACTAGTTATTAGCTACTATGGCTTAAGGGGAGAGTGTGAGTTATAGTTGTGTATGATATAGGGGTTTATATAGTGCTTGTGAGGTTTTACAGTATACCATGTGGGATGAGTTGTATAAAGAAGTAATGGACAAAATGTATAATAATTATAAATTATGAAATGGTACAATAGGAGAGAATGAGGAAATGAAGCAACATGTGAAAGAGTGAGTTTTAGCTGGCAGATGAAAACCTTGAAATATGTTTAGGTTTTTTGGATGTTTGTGAGGGCAAGTCACAATATCACTGACATCAATCTATTTCATATCTCAAAAATTAACATATTACTGAAAGTGAAAAATATTTCGAAAATCATGTAAGATGTAGGTAAAATGTATTTTTCATTTAAAATACTTTTTTAAAATAAAAAATATTAAAAGAAAATATAAGAGATACATATGTTAGTCTAAATTCTGCATTACATAGAAGAATCGCTAACCATCTTTTATGAAAGATTGTAAATGTTTCACACGATCTTGTGTTCTCAAACAAAACTAAAAATGAATTTATAAGTTACATATAAAGGGTGAACTCCACTTATTAGTAGGTGATAAAAAAATATTCTGTTAAATATATTTATTTTATGTTTAATTAGTATCAAAATTCTTTAACTTAATTTTATATTTTATTTTAGTTATTTATCTAATAAAAGTTATATATTAATTCTTTAAAAACTTTTTGATTAATTAAATTAGTGCTTGACATTAAATTTTCTGGAAAAAAATGTTAATTTCACCTAAGTAACACATTGTTAATAAGCTGAGTCAATATTGTATTTAAAAAAAGTAATAAAAATATATAATTAAGTGGTCATAATTCATTGATACATTGCTTTTAAAGCTATATGGTCATATATAATATACAACTAAATGGCCATATCATATGTTTATTCTGCAATGCTTTTATAGCTAAATGGTCATTTATACATTACCTATCCAATGATAGCAGTAAGGATGTTCAAATTAATCGGTTATTTGAACTATTCGTATTTATATTTAAATTTGTTTATTAACAATCGGCTAATTATTAGTATGATTTAAATTAAATCTTTATTTTAAATATTTTATTAATATAATTTTAACAACATCTATTTTTTAGATATTCATATTCAAAATAATCAATATTTTGAAAAAAATTTAATTAATTTTTCTATAAAAAAAAAAAGTTTTTCTGAAATAAAATAATTTTTTGGGAGAATAAGAAAAACGGTCTTTTTATTGAAAAAAAAAATTCTAGAAAAAATGATTTTTTTATTGATGAATTTTTTTTAAATAAAAAACTTTTTAATCTCTCTTTATATATGTTATACAAAAGTTGCACTTTAAAAATCATCATAGATGATCTAGCAACACTTTAACGTTCACGCAGAGTTTTATCAGGAATCCATTTCATGAAAGTTTTCTACCAGTAACATTTTGGACATCCTCAAGCTAAAAAATCAACCATGCAGTTGGATGAAGAAATACAAGAGGTGTTGTTTCAATTAATATAGTAAATTTAAAGCTGAAATATATGATTGGTTAAATGGAAATTATATTTAGCGCCTACAATTATATTAGCAAAAGCTAGATGATTGATTTTTTCAAATCAAATCTATTATCAATCTATTAAAAGTAAAGTACCTGGAAATTCCAAGTCTAACATTTTGATTAGATGTTATAATTTTTCTTATTCCAAGGGTATAATAGACTAATCAACAGTATGCTGTTACCATATTCATTTGACATTTAATTTTGCTGACATGTCAATCTATCATAATTTTACACTATTTTTTATTTATTTAATTTATTAATTTATTTTATTTATATTTGAATTTTATTTATATTTGAATTCCAATTACAATGTTTCATTCACGGTTAATTTATTTATATTTGAATTCCAATGTTTTTTTTTTACAGAATTTGAATTCTAATGTTTGACTCACAGTTAATGAGTAAGGAATTGGAATGGCCAAATTATATCTATTATAATTAAATAGAATATTATTCATTGCATGATTTAAAAATACCCACTATTTATCATTACACTACAAGATTAAATGTATATTATTGAAATTAGAATGGATTATTTTGATATTCCAAGATATCACAACTTCCCATGTATTCTAAACCCTATATATATATATAGCCATTCTAAACCCTTAATCTTTCACTCCTCAATCTTCTTCATTCTCCATTTTTTTTATTTTTAATTGCTATAATTTTAGAAACAAATATTACAATTTTTAATAAAATATTTACGATTTATTTTTTTAAAGTACGACTAATTAATATATTTTTATACAATATTAAAAACAAATATTACAATTTTTTAATCAAATATTGGAGTACCATTTAATTGGATACTTTACCAATATATCTTTTGAATGAAGACATTATTATCATTTATTTTTATTATACTTATATGAAAATTATTTTGAATGGTGACATAAATATATTTAATTTTTATATATGATTTGATTCCATAAAATATTATGATCAATAAAATTTGAATTCTCTTTTAATATTATAGGTTTGATACTGTTTCATATTGTAGGAATATTATATACATTAGAATATATAAAGATATGAAAAAAATTAAATCAAAACTTTACAAATATATCTTTTGAATGGAGGTATTAATATTATTTATTTTTATTATATATAGAAAATATTTTGAATGGTCACATTAATACATTTTATTTTTATGCATGATTTGATTTCAAAAATTTATGATCAATAAATTTTGAATGGAATTATAATTTAACCAATAAAATTTTCTACCGACTTCTAAATATATTTGTGTATATTTTTTGAAAGGTTACATTTATATTCTTGAAAAAAATAACGTAGTTTAAAGGATGTATTGTTAACTATAAATATATTGTTAATAAAATTAACAAAAAAAATATATTATAAATATATAAAAGATAAAGTAAATAAGAACTCTAATGTTTATCTTAAATATTTAATTTATCATTCATCTGAAGATATTAATGGTTCTAAACCATAAGCAATGAAATCTCTTTGAAATGAGAAGCATTCATCTGGAAAAGTAGATAACATACCAAACTTTGGAGTAGAGATGATTTTCTTTTGAAAATGCTTGAGAAATCTGTCCCGCTGTGGATCCGTGAGGTACTCGAGCACAGAGTTTTCAGATGTTGACGAAGCTGGCTTCTTTCCTTTCTCTGAGGAAGAGGCTTTTCTCTTGGGAGCCATGGATCTTGTTAGGGTTTTGAAAAGAGAGATATAGAGTTCTTTTGTGTTGTTATGTGAGAGAGTGTGTTGGTGTTATGAGATAGTTTTGGTGAGTTTAAATAATATAGAGAGTAAGTGAGGTCTTTATGAGGTTTTAATTTGGTAATTTGGTCAAGGTTTTATTGATTGGGCAATAGTAAGGTGGGAGGTTGAGAGACAATGAATGTTTGACCAATATATTAAAAGCTCATTACAAGTATCACATGTTAAAACAAAATAAATTGCATAGAGAAAATACATAAAAAATGCTTCAGATTCTGTGGTAAATCGATTTACCCCTTGGTTAAATCGATTTACACAGAACATTTTCATAAAAAGTAATTTTCGTTCTGTGGTAAATCGATTTACATATTGTGTAAATCGATTTACACACAAGATTTTATTAAAAAAAATGATTTGCTTCAGTAGTAAATCGATTGACATATTGTGTAAATCGATTTACACAGAAGATTTTATTAAAAGAAATGATTTGCTTCAGTAGTAAATCGATTGACATATGGTGTAAATCGATTTACTTAAAGAGAAAATTTAAAACATCATTATTTTTAACATTTGAAACAATGTCTATCCACATATATATGTACATTAAGGTATAGTCAAGGATTGAGTGCACCTTAAATATCTTGTTCATCGAGGATTCCAAGTTCACGACGAATTTTGAAAAATGCATCCTTAGCAAGTGGTTTTGTGAAGATGTCCGCGAGTTGATTTTGAGTGTCCACAAATGTGATCTCGACATCTCCTTTGAGTACATGGTCTCGGATGAAATGATGTCTGATGTCAATGTGTTTCGTCTGGGAATGCATAACTGGATTTTTCGTAATATTGATCGCGCTTGTGTTATCACATCGAAGAGGAATGCATCCAAGGTTTACTCCATAGTCAAGTAATTGTTGTTTTAGCCAAAGAATTTGAGCGCATCCACTTCCAGCCGCAATGTATTCTGCTTCGGCAGTGCTGAGAGCTACGCTTGCTTGCTTTTTGCATGACCATGAAACCAAGGCATTTCCAAGAATGTGACATGTTCCACTTGTACTTTTGCGATCAGTTTTGCAACCTGCATAGTCAGCATCAGAATAACCAACTAGATTGCACATACTACCTTTTGGATACCATAATCCGACGTTGGTTGTTCCTTTGAGATATTTTATTATGCGCTTGACTGCTGCAAGGTGAGACTCTTTAGGATTGGCTTGATATCTTGCACATAGGCAAACGATGAACATAATGTCAGGTCTACTTGCTGTTAAATAAAGGAGTGAGCCAATCATTCCACGATACTTAGTTATGTCAATAGAATTTCCTGATTCATCTGGGTCAAGATAGGTGCCGGATCCCATAGGAATTGCACTTTCTTTGCTACTTTCCATCTCAAACTTCTTTATAAGGTCTTTGCAATATTTTGATTGGTTCACGAAAATACCATGTTTGAGTTGCTTAATTTGAAGACCAAGAAAGAAATTCAATCTTCCCATCATAGACATCTCAAACTCTCCTTGCATCATAGACGAAAATTCCTTGCACATATTTTGGTTAGTTGAACCGAAAACAATATCATCTACATAGATTTGTACAAGTAATGTATGATGATTAACATTTTTTATGAAGAGAGTGGTATCAACTTTACCCTTTACAAACCCTTTTTCACATAGGAATGCGCTTAGTCTATCATACCAA